AAGTGTCCCCGGAGACCGTGGGGGTGTCCTGTGTGGACCTCGATGCTGTGTTTTTGTTGTTTTACTTGCTTTTTAGGATTAGCAAAGGATTGTGCTTTGTTCTGTCTCACAGTGAAAAGTGTCAGGTTGGCTGTGACATCTCCTTCACACTGATATCAAAGCCTGGATCGTGACAGTCGACCACCAAAGGACACGTTTAGGCTAACAGAGACATGCCTTCACTATTATTTGATGCATCAGGACTGAGAGCAGCACAAAATGCAAATAAACATGATGAAGAAAGCATCTGCAGGTGCTGTAAAGACAGCTGTAATATATCTCTGAGCTGCACAACTGGGGCAAAAACACAATGAAGAACAGCAGTGATTGACCAAGCTACAGCAAGCCTGTGAAAAACCTGGTGGGAAAAACACACAGAGACAGAAAGCTCTGAGAACAGCGTGATTCCCAGAGGGACTGAAAGGTAACAAGTATGTTTCCTTCTTAGAAAAATGGTTACCATTGATACCAGATCAGCTGGATCCCTGGATACCCCCGGAGATCGGAGAGCGCACCACATGCTTGGAAGGAAACCTCAAGAGGATCTTGTCACTGAATCCCTCAGCTGCAAGAACACCGTCCAGGTGTTTGTTGCTATATGGAAAACAAGGAAGGTTGTAAACAGCAACTCATGAACCGTTTGTGTCTTTGACAGGAGCTCAAATGTGGCGACAATCAGACCGTCTAATAAACATTTATTTAAAAAAAAAAAAGTCTTCTGCTGCTGCCGCCCAACATTTAATGAGAAGTCAAACTGAGCTTTCCTTCTTTATTTGTGTTTTCTCCTTGCTGAGGTCGAATCTCCACCGGCAGCTTTCCTCCTCCTACAGCGCAGCAGTGCCACTGCAAATATTTAAGAATGAATGAAATATGATTTGTGTACAATGAAAGATATATCAGGACAAATCAAGTGTGTGATCATGTATGAGTTGTATAGTTTTAATGTTTTATTTGGGAACAGAATGGTGTGTATGTGTAAGTTTGGTGATGGAGTTTTTATTATGAATGAATTATGAATTATTATGAATTATTATGTCTATTTTTTATGCTTAAGGACAACAAATGGAAATTAGCCCTTGGCTATAATCTGGTATGTTTACATTCATGTAATTTTTTTTTACATTTATGTTCATTAACATGCACTGTCCTAAATAAATAAATAAATAAATAAATAAATATCAGGACATCGTCAGCATAGAAGTAGATGACAACATTATGTTTTCTTAAATATAGACGAAAGCGGATCTATACAGAATTGAGCCACAAGTTAAGCTAACAGTGTTAGAAGAATGGTTACCAGTGCTGGCAGATAAATGACCTGTTAGGTAAGATTTCATCCAGTTAAGGCAGAACCACAAACACCCGTACATTTCTCAAATTGAATTCAAGGGAAGGATGTCTGATTTAAATGAGTTGGCTTTAAATGATCGAGGACACTAAGACTGAAAGTGAAACAGGCTCAAAGTGCAACACTGAAGATAGATAAACTTGGTGGATCATTATTGAATAATGTCAAATTTACACAGTGCAGCCCTCCTACATTTCTCCTCGAGAAGTTAATTTCATTAAAAATATTTTGGTTATTTAAGCTCAAAATTGCTTTTTGAAGCGCATCAGCATCAGTAAAGCAACATTTGGAGAAATTCACAGAGTGAGTGCAGCACTGAAGCCCAGATATGGAGAGTCTGGCTACAGCAGATACTGTGGCTCTGTGCAAACATTTC